AGTTCATCACTTCCAGTAAAAATGTCATTTTCTACTATCATGAAACTACCCCCTTGGAATATTTCAATCTCACGATTCTGAAAATAACTACCCTCATTAGACTTGGATTACAGCTCTTCCCCTAACTTCAAACTTAAAATGTTCACCCTGATTTACTCAGATGTAAAGATGATCAGAAATATCCTGCTGAGCCAATCGATCACCAAATTTTTTCTACATCACTTGAAAAAACGTGTGATAGGACCAGAGAACTTTCTGAACCAAAATTTATGGTCTACCTACTCTTGTGTCCTTTTTCTGACAAATGACAACATAAATAATTTAAGAAAGTGTGTGACCTTCTGCAGTAGTTATCTGGAAAATAATTCATTCCATGAAAGAATATCCTACCCGCTTATCCATTTATTTTTCCCTACATGTGCTTCTTTTTCTTCCCCCTAAAATCTTGCAATAACTTACTGATAGAATTCAAAACTGTTTTGAATTTTGCCAGCTTCTTGGCTTCATCTTGTAGTACTCTGACAGGCCTTTTATGCAGCCAGTTAAAAAAACCCGATACTCTTCCCAGGTATGATGTGCAGTGCAGGTTCATGCTTTCCCCATAAATCTAGCTTTTACCAAATCTGGTTTTTACTTTTTGCCTGCCAAAAAAGGAAAGAAAATTCATGTCCTCCCCCGTCACATAAACATATGCAGGAGAATGAGCATGTATTTTCTGACCATCACTGATGCTGAGATTGACTGAGAGAAACAGCAAGAACTCCAAGTACCACCTCTGGCTCACTGAGCTGACTGTTTGATTGTTCTCATTTTGTTTAACAGCTTATGTATAATTGCTGCTGGTTTAGACTGTAACACAATAAATGCAGCGCTGCGGGAACAAAGAAGCCTTTTTTTTTGCACCAGCAATTTTATTCTCTTTCTTATAGGGAGAGCAAGTCCTGCACTTGACTGTATTGCTTTGTAAAATTTTATTTTCCCCAAAAATGCCTTTGGTATGTCTGATTCATCCTTAATTGCTAAAACCCAGAAATCTCATTACAGCCTATGTTGCCAGTATAAGATAGCTGAAGTTACTTTCAGCTAAGGAGGTTATATACAGTTTAATAAATTTCAACAAATTAATTAAAGTAAATTTTGCATTTATTGTTTTCCCTATTTTACTGGATGCATGCACTACAGATCTGTGTAAAATTCAATTTTCACTGTTGCTTAATGGTTTCCCTCTAAGATGGAAATTATTAAAGGAGGCAAAATGTATCCATCTTTAGCCTAGAGTTTTTAATTTATCAGCTGAATGTTGGTTCCCAGAAGAGCAATGAAGTGTTAGTTCAGAAAAAAAGGAGGTCAAAAAATACAGGAAAAAGAAAAAGAAGTTGTGCAAATTATCTGTGTTTCCAGAGACAGGTTTACAGTCTAACAGCCTTTGCTCTGAGACAAGTTTACAGTCTAACAACCTTTGCTCTTAGACAAGTCTGCAAACTCTGGCAACACTGTTCACCCATAGTTTTGGTTTTCATTACAACGTGTTAGTCCTTAATGTCTTGATTTTTGACCTGTCCCATGATAATACGTGAACATCTTTCCAGTAGATATGACTTTGCTGACCAGAAAATGTACTAAATATTATTTAAAAGACAAAAAAACCCAAAACCTGGAATAACTTGGGAAAGTGTAATTTTTCTCAACCAATTCAGAGAACACAAAAGGAACATCCTCTATCTTGTAGGGACCTATTTAACATTAGCTTGTAAGGTATTTTCTTTCACTGAGGTATGCTGAGTATAAGCCCTAAAATTAATCACCAGTTTTCCCCACCAGCAAAACTCACTGACTGAAATTGAAATTTATTTGTAGCCCCACATGCTCCACCACAGTCAATGGAGTTTTACAAGCTTGAGAATGAAATAGGGATTCCAGGATTTCATGCTTGTTTTCATTAGTGGGCTAGAAACAAAATACTACTAAGGCAAGAAAAAGGGAAACAATTCACAACTGGCAAGGTTTCTTGAACGAGATGGGGTCAGACCGTTGAGAATGGCTGGTCTGTGGCATCCTGGTTCTGGACCTGTACTATTTACAGCCTCTCTTTGTGCTCTGTGGAGATTCCCCCAGTGCTGACGTAAGCATCACATTGCACTTCTAGCATTTCCAAAGCAACTGCAGTGGAAGTAACAGTTCCTGTAAGAGGAGAACTGCTTTCATCCTTGTTACTATCACAAAATACAAGCCAAGAAATAACACCAAAATCAACACACAATAAATACATCTAAGTGGAAAATAGCATTAAAGGTTAATCAAATCTAAAACACATAAAGGATTTTTTTTTTAACCAATTTAATGGACTTTTTAAATAGGAGAACTCTGCTTAATCATCTGAAATTATTGTGTTTCAGTAAGCACTCCCTAATACTCAGAAAGTCTCAGAAGATAATTCTACTGACTCTGTTTATTACAGTATCCCATTCAACTCTAATTGTAAAGGGTTATATAGACATCAACAACACTCAGAGACTTACTAAAAAACACCTACAATGTGGGTGACAGATTAAGAAGCATTTCTAGTTCAGATTTCTGCATCAGATCTTCAGGTTTTGTTGCATCCTCATATTCCCAGTGTAGATCTGTTCTAAAATTCTCCTGGATTCATTCTTATTCCACTCTTGCTTTAATTTGCTTTTCCACTTAATATTTACCTTACAGACAACTTTATTTTATTTCATATTCCTGTAAATCTTATTGTAGCTCATGGGTATATGTGGATAATCTCTTCAGTAGCAATCCACTTTAGGGCATGAGACAGTCAAATGTGTATGAAGTCCTTCAAGCTATTGTTCAAATGGAAATTCAGCTCTCAGATCCCCAAACATTTGCCTTCATTTAAATTAGTTTGAGTTATAACATTGGTGACTTACTCCCAGACACAGTCATAGACAGTATTTCATATTCTCAGAAGAAACTGTCTGCAACTGAGACACACGTAATAGTGAACAGAGATGGAAATTAATTTTATCACTGTGATAAACATGCTACTACTTCAATCAAAAGTCATCTGCAAGCTTTGGCAGAACAAGAACAGGTGCAGGAGAATTATAAAAAAAATTTTTTTTTTCAATATCCCTCTCTCCCCCTCCTTTTTCCATGTTCAGCACAGAGCTCTACTGTGTTTTGTTACTGAAAATAAAAGGTAGACTTTGGGCAGAATGACAGCCACTGCTAAAGTCACACGTTGAGAGGTAGTCTCACAACAATCTGTTCTACAACACAAACACATAGTATTATTCTTTCCAAGTGAGTTATTTTCTTTGGGGACAATTTACTTTGAGGACATACTGCTCTGCATTTTCACGTGGCTCTTCACTTGTTTTGCGAACTTTCATCGAGAAGTGCCCTGATATTTCATTGTCTTTATATGTTGCTGCTTTTCATTTGACCTCTGAATGATCCCCACTTCCACAAGATCTCTGTGAAACATCTGCACAAACAGAAAAAGCATACAGAGCTCTAACCCAAATGAAGCCTTGAGGCCCTTGCAAGTATAAACAATTAATTGGCATAGGAACTGCAAAACGTAAATAGAAGCCCTCTAAATATTTTCAGTCTATACAGAAACTCTTTTCCTCCATTAAAAGGAGTGGGTTTAGTGCAATATTTCACTGAAATTGCAGAAAGCCTGGCAATTATAAGGAATCTTAACAGAACAAGATTGTTTCTCTTACTCTCCTCATCCCTGGAAAATATATCAAAGCAACTGGGTGAAGACAGCCCATCTAGGCTATAGCAAACATTGTTTCTTAGATTTAACATATTCAGAAAAGTATCCATGCAATTTCCTAAAAACAGCTCAATCAATTTCAAATAGTTTCAAGTTAAGTAGTACTGAATCAAACCTAAAATGGGTAGTCATACATTTTCACTGTTGATTGCTGAAACAGGTATTTTCAGATGAAGCATTAACAGCAGCAGTGTAACAAATTAACTTCCAAATGTTGTACCACAAAACAGAATAGCTGTAAAATAACTTTAGGACATCCCTAAAAATGTGTGCTCCTTTTCCCTTTACAACAATAGTTACATAGAGATGTAAATTACTAGAATGAAGAGGACTTTTATCTACTAATCTCTATGAGCACTGTACAGTTTTACTAATTGTCTTTCAAAAAAAAGAATAAGTCTCTTGTCAATGTAATTGCCTTACAGGAAATAGACTTCTTCGGTAAATATATTTCTATCTAGACATTATTGCTGTCTATCAATAAAATCATGACATAAATTTCATTGCTGGCTCCAGACATCAGAAAAGTGAAATACAGAATCTAGAATGCGAGACTGACATTATAATCACAGCTCCTAATTTCAATGTCCTGTCTACATCACTGGTACAGGCGCTTATGAATGACTACAGAAATAATGTGACTGCCTAGTGGAGACTGAGGTCTACAAACGCTAATTCCAATGGAACTCGTTAGCTAAAAAGGCACAGAAGACATCTACAACCTGAAAAATCAGTGTAACGTAGCATATGCAGCTTCCATTGCTTGGGATATTCACAGGCAAAAATGTAAGAACACACATGACTGAATGTATAAATCAAAGGCAAACCTAACTGAGAAGTGATCTGTACATTGGTACACAATGGCAGATGCCACAGCATATTTTTTTATGAAGAAAGGCTGCTCAAGATCATCTATGGATAATGAAGCATGACAGCTTGGGATTTGATAAAACACAAGTTGATGGCGAGAGAAGGCGAAGAATACAACTACTATCTGAACAGCCAATAAATGCATACAACCAGTAATTTTTCCAACTTTAATGTCAGTGAGAAATATGACGTGTTACCACAAAATTATATGTTCACTAGTCTAATAGACTTTACATCAGAAAAAGCTGTTTCTTTCAATCATTTACTATCTCCATTTTATTTCTCAGAAAGCACCATGCATTAAAGCATCTAACAGGGTATGGAAGGAAACAGAACCCACATTTGTTTCAAATACCTTATATGAATGGCATCAACGCAGTTTTCACAGGGAAATCTTGAATGAAGACTCTACCAATTTCTAGTTTCTTCACAGCTCAGAAAAAAAAGTTGCTTTTCTCCCTTTAAAAGAAAGACATTCCATGTAAACACTTGCCAGTACCTATGCAGCTGTATTTTCATTTTTGCCCACAAACAACTGCTGCTTTAAAATTCCGTTCAACATTCTTGGTTTGTTCAGTGCCCTTGGGCTGATTGCCAAAAGTTAATTACCATGTGAGTTAATGAGATTGTTAATTTACAAAGAAAAAAACATACATGAACAAGTTTTCTTCACTATGGACTCATCTGGACTGGTTTGGTGTGTTCCAATATTATATATTTCTGTAGATCAGTGAGGCAAGTACAGTGGGGGAGTGGTCACACAATTTCCTACTGCTGTATCCCACAAGGTTCCTTAACTCAGCATGCTCTATGAATTCAGTTGATACCAAAAAGACATGGATTTATAATTGTACCTTTTTTAACTTCTATACGAAACCAGACAATTTCAAACCAGTTTGCATTAAGCGACAAAAGTGACCTAAGTAAATTTAATCTTTAGGCTCAAACAATTTCATGGAAATATTCAGATTGTACTATAGATTATATATATATATTTTTTTTACCTCTTCTCAGCTCTTCTATTTCCCTTCTGTAGAGTCACTTACAGTAAATAAAAAGAATTCATGTTGCTTTTTCCCCATAGCTATTACTAGAAGCTTCAGTGAAGACTGAATGCTTACTGTGCTGGAAGTTGTTTGAAGAAGACTGTAAGAGATCTGTCAGATTTTTTTAAATCAAATCCCTGAGACAGGCAAAGGATGGGAGAGTAAAGCTGTATCAACATGCTTGTTCTACAGATAGAGGCAGAGGTACACAAAATTCAACAATAGGCTGAACGTCACATAAGGAGTCTGGTTTAAGGAACCTACTCAGCCTTAAATGTCTTGAATCCTTGCCCAGTTGCTTAATCATACACCATAAAAGCTGTCCTCAGTCTCCACATCTTACACGTAGTGCTTCTGATTATTTTCCTTAGTAAGAAATACTATCATTATTTCATTTTGCCAGTCTTGGCAATATTTAAAACAGCAAAAAGAATTTTTTTTTTTTTTTTAAGACAAAAAAGCACTGCATAATTCAATAGTTCATTAGTTATTTTAAACAGTTTGGAAACTCTCATTTTTTCACTACTTATGTACTAAGAAATCAATATTGTTAACCACAACAGTAAAAATGATGGAATTACGGAATTTTCTATAAATGTGTATACCTATAATTTCCTTTCTATTTTTTTAGAGAATAAAGCCCATATCAGCAAGGCACATTGCACTGAATTTACAGTCACCAAAGTCATAGGGCAATAGGAATTTAGACCACCAAACAATGTACATTTTCCATCAGAAAACAAAAGAAAGACTAAATCCTTTAAATGACTCCAGGACTTCGGGTTTTAATGAAATAAGTATTAGGAAAAGCTGGTTAAAAAATATTCCAGCTTTCAGAGTCAACAATTATTTTGTACCTTGCGGCTGTCTGGATAGAATATATTTATCAAAACAACAAAGTAAAATCAAACTCATTAGATGCAAACCACATTAAAAAAAGAACATCGCAGCAATGTCCAGCACTCAAAGGGTAATTCAGCCTCTTTCTGAGACTTTATGATAGTCTCTGAGTCACTATTTTTTGTGGGGTGCCATGCTTATCCAGTGCCTAGATCCATCACTCCTGTCTGTGAATGATTTATAATTCATATACCATAGAGAGCCCATTCTCAAAATAAAATAATGATTTTCATGGTGAACTTTTTTCAAGATTAAAAAAAACAGCAAAACAATATTTTTTTTACACCTAATAATGGATCCTCATCCCCCCCTTCCTTTTTTTTTTTTTTATCTTTAGAGCATGCACTATATACTATATGTTCCCATATATTCAAGCATGGCTCACACTGAACTCAATTTTTCTGTCTTTCTGAATCACTTCTCAACCATTCCCACTTCCCTCCAGCTAGGATGACGGCTGATGCTAATGCCAATTATGTTGGCAGCTCTACGTCTGCTGTCCAGATATCCAATTCCTTATTAAATCTGTCTTTCCTAGAGCTCCCTGCCAAATTTCACTGTTATTCAGGTCAGTCCTGGTTCCCCTCCTCCATGTCCCAATTTTATTGCCCACTCTCTGACTATTAATCCATTGCCTTTGACCATAAAACCTTGGCCATCACACCCGCTCCTAAGCCCAGCACTGAGCAGTTTTCTCCCATACTGGCACCCTTCTGCCCACTGGGATCCCAGTAGGGTCCCAGATCCCATTGCTGGGGCTGGTTCCTCCCCACCACACAGAGGAGCTATCAAAAGCCATCACAGGAAACTCTTCTATATATTTTTGTCCTGCAGCACACATATATTGAGTCACTCCAAGGGAATGCCATGACCTTATCATAGCTGGCCTTAGTAATGTTGAGAAGCTTGAGCACACTCAGCAATGACCACAAACAGAGATTTTACATCTTCAGCAATAAAAGATCTCTCTTTCCTCTGAAAATTCTGATCCTTTTAAAAGCTTACGATTTTGTTAATTCTACTGGATATTCACAAGGATGGTCACAAACACATTCTGCTCTGAAATGACAACCTCACTACTAGGCAGGAAAACTAACTCCACCAGAAAGGAAATTTTTAAATATGGTATGAGTTCTTTGTCGAGATCTTAACTGTGTTAAAATATCCTAGCCAGAAGCAAATATTTCTAAGGAGACAGCAGTTAGCCTTTGGGAGTCAGGAAAAGACAGGTAACTCAATCAATGAAGTAAGTTTTAGTATGTTAATAAGGGTAACAGTGAAATGCTGTCCATGTTTTAACAAGAATTTTCAGGGTTTCTTACACATTCAGAACTTCTTTTTACAAGTCCCTTAGGGAGTAGAAGGAACCTCTGTCACTTATTGTATGAACAGTGCATAATAGTTTGCGTAATGAAATTAAGCAGCCTGAAATACATGTGAACATGACTAATGAGAGCAAATGCAGAAGGAAAATCAAGCAGATGGCTGGAGCGTGCTGGAACAGAGTAGCAAGGAGAGATCTGAGTGCCTGGGGGGTTTGCAGGACACATATAGAAACACAAATATAATCTTTGCATTTCTGTATAATACTGCATCTGTCAGCACTTCAACAGTCCATAGATCACAAGTGAGAGCTTGCCAGAATACTAACAGTCTCGGTGGAAAATCTTTATGTGCCTTTCACAGAGATGCAAACTGAAAACAAAAGGAGAGGGGTTTGTTTTGCATTTTGTGTCTTGCATTTTTAACTGCATGAAAAGATAATTCAGCTAGTGGCATATATTTAAAGAATGAGTCTTTCTCCACCAAGACTCTGGTTCTCAGAGACCTCCCCCAGAATACAAACATTTGGGGGAAAATAGAGAAAGACAGAGAAAGAAGGCAGCAAGTATTAAAAGATGGTAAGAAAACGCTTTCTCATGAAGAAAGGTTAATGACCTTATGAAGTGTGTTTAAAGAAACACAGGAAAATGAAGATAAAAACAGTTTGCTCTCATTGCTTTCTTGGAAAAAATAATCTGTCCACAGAAAAGATTAACTGTTCAATTCTATAATTCTAGCTGAAATGAGGATTACCAGGCAGTTTCTCCTCAAGAGGTATTTCTTGGCTGAAGGCATAATTATGTTCGGCATGCAATACATAACTTATGCTGGCTATTTAATTCTGCAAACTTACTGAATTGCCTACAGTTATGGCATAAAAACCAAGCAAATTCAGACAGAAAAAGTATCAATCTAAGCAACTTTACAATATCATTCTTCTGTCTTTGCTACCACAAATGGTTGGGATAAAATGCCTTCAGACATATGTTTTCTGATAGCTGAGATTTATTTTTTTTTTTTCACCAGAAAACATTGCTTGATGTTTTTGAAAGAAAGAAGACACTCTACCTGTGGTCGCAATATAAGGACAACAAAGTAATTTTAACCAATGTTCAGAAGAAAACTATTTAATTAATCTGCACCTGTTGGTATGTATAATAGTCTGTTCCACTGTTGATACTAATGTTACAGCTGTAGTCCACCTACCACATCTTTGATTCTAATATACTCTTATTATTTAGTGCTTACAGTACAATTTAGCAGTGCAGAATACTTTTATTTACACAAACTAGAAAGATCCAAGATTCAGACATTCTTTAATGCCTTCAGCTAGTTTTCAAAATGTATCTCGACACTGTGTATTTTTCTTTTTTAAAGTTCAGATTTTTTAGATTCACAGAAAGATACTGAACATGGAACATCACTATTCAGCAGAATAAAAGGAACAAACCCCACAAACCCCAAAACCTTTTAGTTCTAGAAGACAGTAATGATATTTCTTTACTATTTTTCCACTGACTTCTGACTATGTTTTTATCTCCTGTGCTAAACAAATGCCATTTCTATCAGTCTGAAGCATATTAAAGTTATCTCCAATCTGCAACAAGCACAGGAGTCTCTAAATATCTGGCATCTGTAGACCAGCAAGATCTTTCAGTCAGCCTTGACCTAAATTTATCAGGTGACATATGCAGGGATGATCTCTTTATTTTACTACAAATGATTCTTAATTACACTGCAGCACAATTTTTAAGCTTCAACCCAAAAAACGTTATGTTTGTTACATGATAAATTGCCTTAAACAAGAACTGTAATCCACAGGTATCATTCCAGCCTTTATTACTTGTATCAGGTTTCCCTCTGACCTTCCATTTTAAACCTTGGCTTCTATTCAGTCACCAAAATCCAGTTTATCTCACTATCCTTGCAGCTTTCTAACGTAACTTGTGTTAAATATAAGCACCTATCACAGTGCTAATAAAAACATGGGGTTATTAATCTCAATGCATTTTACTAAACAATGCTCACAGAGACCAGGCATGCAAGAGAGTTTTGTGAGGAAAAGTACCAACTGACATTTTCTATCTTGTCACTGCTGTAAAAATTATATTCTCCTTCTGCAAAAGTGTTTGCAAATAAATTCATTTGTAAAGCTGAGTTTCTGAGATCTTCTGAAGTAATTCGTATCAAAACAGAGGGCTCACACTGC